CGCCTTGATGTTAATGGTGCCGACTGATTAAGGTGGTGGTAGCTGTAGGTTGGAGCGGCTGTGACAATTTCTTAAGATAACATAACGAAGAAGTCGTCACGTTCATTAACTCTTTCTTTCACATGAATACTTAGAAACCAAAATAAGGTTTTTAATTGGCCTAATTTCAATATTGTTGTGTCTCAGGGAATAGGGAGGACTAAGGAGAGGGAGAGAGATAGGCAATGACTGGTTGGTGGAGCAGTCAGAACATACACAACATTTATCGATTAAGTTTGCCATTTTATGTAGGCACAATTCACAACTCCCCAAAATAATTACAATATTAACATCAAAGATCTTGGATCACAGATCACCATAACAGATATAATAATAACGAAAAAGTTTGAAATATTGGGAGAATTATCAAAATGTGTTACAGAGACATGATGCTAGCACACGCCGCTGTAAAAATGGCACCGATAGAGCTGATAGGCAGAGAGTTCCTACAAACCTTTACTTTGTAAATAAACAACAAAACAAATAATCAAACCACAATATCTGCAGAGTGCAATAAAGTGAAACACAATAAAACAAAGTATTCCTGTACTCCCCCTCCCCCCTTTTCTCACTTAAAAATTATAGTTGGGAGCATTTGGCTTGATTGCATGCAATTGTCTTCTGGTTTGTATTCCCTCATCTTGGAACCTGTATCCAGCTGCTTAGATAGCATTGAAACTGGGTCATGAGTCGCTCCCTGCTCATACAAGAGCACTGCACTTCCTTAATGGTCCAAGCATCATGGGAGGTATTTTCCTTGGTGAGTGATATCCCCCTTTCTCCAAAGGGCATGCAATATTTTAAACCCTGAAAGTCACTTGGCATCCACTACCTCCTATTCTGTAGGTGCTGTCCAGCCCAAGTGCACATACTCCCAGTATCTTCCTCAGAAATAGAATTATACCCTGTGCTCTCGCAGCATTGTCTAAAGCAGCCGGTATCAGCAGTTTCTGGGCTTGTCGCCCCCATGCGTGTCATATCTTGACTGTGGTAGCCCACTCTTTGAAAAACATCCACCTGAAATTGATGGAAACCTCAGTATGTTAGGGGGAGAAGGTGTGAGCTCTTGCCTGGTAGCCAGAGACAGGAGACTTTAAGAATCTGCTTAGGAATTGGTGTATTTTTACTTATCCAATGGCCTTTGCTTCTTGGTTATGTTCCCCAAATATATGCATCGTATCTGTCTTTATCTCCCCACTGTCTGTCTCTTGTCTCTCTACCTGTATTTGTCTCATCTCTCTTCATAATCTCTTTTCTCTTCTCTCTTTTCCCTTCCTCATCCATCTCCTTTCCCTGCCCCCTCCAGTCTCCCTTATCTTATCTTCTCCTTTTGTCTCTCCTTTCTCTCCTCTGCTCTCTCACTCTCCCTTTTCTCCCTCTCCTCCTTTTCCCTCCCCAACCCTCCTCTCTTCTGTTTCTGACACCCCTCCCAGTCTACCCCCCATATAATACAGACATCCTGATTCCCAGAGAAATTTCAAGGAAGGTGATGCAGATACCATTCTCCAGGCCTCCCCCCCCCCAAAAAAATATTTAATGTTGACTAATTCAAGTCAAAATCATACCACTGAGTGCAACCTTGAAGAAGGAACGAAGTAAGAGTAGAACAACCTCAGAAGCTTGAGGTGGGGCTCTATGTTGGAGGGAGGAAGAGTAGTACTATCCATGTACCTTAGTGAAGTTAAGGGTTGGATGCTATGACCCTCAGGTCATTTAAAAATAGCATATCCTCTACCTATCTCTTTGAGAAAGGTCACCTTCTTAAAATATTCCTCAGCCACCTTTATCTAGGAACCCCCACATAGTCAGAGCCTGGGACACTTACACTGGGGCATTCACATCTGGTTAGCTTCTTACAGGCTCTCTGCAACCCAAAGGGATATATAGAAAGATATAGTTACATACATATGTATGCATGTGTATGTATGTATGTGTGTATGCGTGCATGTATATGTATGTGTATATGCATATGTATGTATGTAGGTAGGTAGGTATACAAGCTTTTTTCTTCTGCTTGCCTTCTTATCTGGATTCTACATTACCTAAGAGAATGACCAGGGTTGCTACCTGGTGAGGGAAGAGAACAGAGAGGTTCCCTAGCACTGCCTGTGAATCTTTCTCATGTGGGTGCTGTAGAATTCCCTATCACATTCTTTTTCCTGGAGCCAAGTAATAGGTGGATTTGTTTTGTGTCCTGTGATAACTCCTTCCCTGACCTCAGTTCTTACTGATCACATGAAATCAGCTTCCCAAGCTTTCCTCCCTTCCCCTTGGCACTAATCTAGGCAATCTTGCTCTTGGTCCCATGGCTTTCTCCTTTTACTTTTTACTAAATCTCACTGATATTCACTCAAACTCTTCTTGAGCCATCATGCTCCCTGCGGTCAATGAACTGTCACCTATGATTCCTAGTTACCATTTCTCCCTCCTTTTGTCTCTGATCTGAGAACTAGACATATGATACTGACCTCTGTTCCCTCTCTACCTTTGCACACTCCAGATTCAAAGAATTAATTTTTCTTAGGTTTGTACAATAGGACAGTATTTGCATTTGATGATGACGACCTACCCTTGTGGTCTTGGATGAGTGACTTCACCTCCCCAGGCCTCGATTTCCTATCTGTAGAGTGATGAGGTTGAACTAGATGACCTCTGAGTTTACTTCCATATCTAGGTCTTTGATGCTAAGATAACAATATAGTGTTACCAAAAACAACTAACCTTTATTTAGTTTTTGGAGGTTTGCAAAGTATTTTACATTGCTGGTGTTCAGTCATTTCAGTTACGGATGCCTCTTCATGATCCCATTTTAGGTTTTCTTGCCAAAGATACTGGGGTGATTTGCCATTACCTTCTCCAGCTCACTTTACAGATGAGGAAACTGAGGCAGACAGGGTTAAGTGACTTTTCCAGGTTCAAATAGTTAGTAGGTGTCTGAGGTGAGATTTGAACTCAAGTCTTCCTGACTCCAGGCTTCTGGCACTTGGCCAATAACAAATGTTATATACATTATCATATGTAAGCCTCACAACAGCCCTGTAAGAGAGGTGCTCTTATTAGCATCCTCATTTTATAGATTAAGAAACTGAAATTGAGAAAGCTTGAGAAGTCAGTGCCTCATCCCTAGTCATACATCTAGTAAGTGTCAGAGATGGGAACTGAACCTACGTGTTCTGAACTCTTGGTACTAATCTCCAGTCATTGCAGGAAGAATATATAAATACAAGGTAATTAAAAATATGTTTCCAAGAAAACTCTCCATTCCCAGCCTAGGTGATAAATCAATTTTTTAAGTTTTCCTATTGAGGTTTGGTCCCCTAATCTAGCTTCACCCATGATCTTCTCTAGGCCCAGATGGCCCAGATTCCTCATGACCCAACCATGAGAATAATGTTTTCTATACTCAATGATTGACACATTCTGATGTAAAAGAATTTATTCATTTATTATTTTTTTTTTTGCCCAAGGCAACACAGTTAATAACCAGAATAGCTATGATTTGAACTCAGCTCATTGGCCCATTCTACGAACCCAAATTCAGTCTAGGTCAAGCAGGAAGCCTGACAACTGAAAGTATTTGGTGTTCCACTCCTACTGGTTAACTCAGATATCTCTGCTTCCTCTGGTCAAGAAAGGAAATAATAATAATAATAATAAAAGAATAGTGCAAAGAATTAAAATGTTCCCCCATCACCTCAAAAATATCATAACACACCACTCCATCCATCAATATAAGACAAGACCTTTTAGGAAAGTCATCAAGAAAAATGAACACTTAGATGTGGGATCAGACACATATCTCCATTCTGACCTCTTAGGCAACATTTTCTTTTACTGAAGTGACATGTACTGAACTACTTAATTATCTAGCCCCAGATTATTTCAGGTATATGTCAGACTGAGGAGTCAATGTAGGCTTCAGAGGCAATTAGGGGGATGAGAGAGAGAGAGATCGATCAAGCTGCTAAAGAGAAACAAGATTGGAAGATAGCAAGCCTTGCTCTAGTCCAACTAGATGACTTAGAAAGAGGCTCAGTAATGTCCCTGCACTTCAGTTTCACTAGCTGGGAAATGGGGTGAAATAAGTTCCTTCCCTATTGCTTCATAAATCCACTTTTGAGGGTAAATGAGGTGACCCTCTGGATGAAGGGTGCTATATAAACCCCAAGCTTTGTTACTCCGTCAATAGTATGTTTCCAAGGCTTTTCGTGCCAAAATAAATTGAAGATGGTGCTCCAGTTTGGGATTTCCATTCACAAAAAGTTGTGGTTGATGCTGTTGTTTCCATTTGGAGGGTGTAGTAAGGAGAGGGCAGGTTGAAGGATGAAAGGGGAAATTACATCGATAAATATTCTTTCATGGCAATCTCAAATTAGGGCAAAGTTTAAAAGAGGAATTTTTTTTTTCTTTTATCCTGTGCTAGTTTTCGAATAGTTAGTTTAGTTACAAACTCATGGTTCATAGATGTGCTCTTCAGAATCTCTACTTAGTCCTCCTGGATTAATCTGTTAGTTGGGTTAGTAACAAGAGGTGGGATGGAATAGTAGACAGAGAGTCATCCTTTAGTCAACAAGACTTGGGCCAAAGTGTCATCTGTCTGTGTTGACCCTAAGCACCTCACTTAACTACTCAGTGAAGGAAACAACTCTCTAAAGTTAAAAGTTAGAAAGGAGTTGCTGATCTATATTCATGGAAGGACTTTCCACGATGAGACTTTCCACTATGGATGAAATCACAGGTGTGGAGCAAGAGTGTTCCAATTGAGAGTAGGAAAATAAAAGGCCCCCCAAAGCATCCGACCTACATATTTATAGCCCTACTGCCAGGAGGCTCCTGGGGTTGGCAAATACTTCCTTATAGCCCTTAGCTCCATCCAAAGCTGTCAAGATTGTAGTGATCAGAAAGTTGGCTTATGGTTTCTCATTCATACAGCACATTAGTTTCCTTTTATATACCTTTAGAGCTTCTTCAAAACTCTTGGGGCCCACCAACAAAATACAGTAAGTATGTAAGCAATACTTAAATATGATCTTTTGTTTATGACTTCTTCATGGTTTCTTTATGATTGTTGATGCCATAGGAAATGAATAAGAGAGGGTTGTGATCAGGGAATTAAAAAAAAAAGAAATGTTGCCCCTTATAACGATGGCCGGGAATAAATGAAGGTTTTCAAAGTTTAACCTCTAAGATGACTTAATCCTTCGTGCTAACCCTTAAGAGGATATGAGTGGAGGGATGGTAGAGTCTATAATGTGATATGGAGACTTTTGATTCCTACTTGACTTATTCAAACTTGATATCTGTACCCAAGACTCCCAAATATCACCTGGCATCTATTTTATGACTACTGGGAAGTTATATGTTCATCATTCCTCAATTGTGACTCCATAGAATCCTTGTGAAAAGACTCAGGATCTCTCTTTTCTGAGAACAATCACTGTATGTACATAATTGACTCAGCACTTGATTTAGAGCTAGGCACATGGATGAGGTAAAATGGAAAAGGGGTAGGGGCAGCTAGGTGGTGCAGTGGATAGAGCACTGGCCCTGAAGTCAGGAGGACTTGAGTTCAAATCTGGCCTCAGACCAAACACTTACTAGCTGTGTGACCCTGGGCAAGTCATTTAACCCCAGTTGCCTAAAAATAATAATAATAATAAAAGAAAAGGTGTAGTTTAAAAAAAATGGAAAAGGGGTAATTGTATGGCATAGTGAAAAAGAGTGATGGGTTAAGGTTAGAGAACTGGAGTCAGCTTGGACAAGTCACTTAATCCCTATGTGTCCTCGTTTTCCTACGTCTACAAAGAGAGACCTGGAACAAATGACCTTTTCAGTTTCCTTCTATGATTCTATGATCTGGGTCCAGATGCTGCCATGCCTCTTTCTACTTGTATGTCCTCAGACAAGTTAGTTTACTTCTCTTGACTTGTTTCTCCATCTGTAAAACAAGAGACTCGGTCTAAACCATCTGTAATATTGCTTCCATGTCTAAAGCTCTGTCCATAAGACTTAAGTTCTGTATCAGAATTCTTAATTGCATGCTACCTACTTAGTAGCTCTCCACTAGTTCATTATTTAAGCACAGACCATAAGCACAGAGGATAATAGATATAGAATGGGGGCGACTTTGGATTTCATAGAGTACAGCTCCCTCATTTTAAAAATGAGCAAACTCCTGAGGTCAAATGACTCTCCTAGAGTAAAATGATTAGTGATTGTCTGAGGTGGAATTTTGACCCACATCTTTCTGACACTTAATCCAGTATCCTGCTTGGATGCTATTTTTAAAAAGCCAGTACAAACCACTGAATATATTCAGTGGATGCCTTCTACTTTTTCACATGCATTTATCTGACTTTCAGTAGCTTTGAGGCATTTTTATTTTATTTTGAGGGAAATAAAAGGCCATGCTTTGTTTCCATGTAACTTGCTTTCCTTTGATGCTTGATTTAGATGTCAGACTAATTTGTTTTCCTGGACAACTTACAAATTTAAGTGGGAGATTATGCATAGAGAATCCTCACTACTCCAGCAGTGGAAGACTCTACTGGAAAACCTGTAACCAAACTGGGAGGTCTCTTTTTGACAGAAATGTTGTTTACCTATACTGGATTTTATTTCCAGAACAATGACAACAAAACTTTATGAATAGAGGTAGCTCTCACAATAGCCTTGTTGATTACAATAGAGTGAACTGTGTTTATTGATACACATGGAGCCTAAAAAAGAAACACAACGTATTATTTCAATGGACCTCGTTGACAAGATTGAAGGGTTCACCTGATTTTTAACTTGGGGGATGGGCCATCACCAGTTGTCTTGACTTTTGTCTTGCCACTAGACTTCAATGACTCTGGAAGAGAGAGTGAAGTTAATGACTTTGTTCAACTCTGCCTCACTTAAATCCAATTCACTTGGGAGTCAAGACACCATCCCATGATATCATCGTTTGAAATCCCCTCCTTCCCTCAAAACAGCCTGAGCTGTAATTTCTACTCCTTGGAATCTTCCTCTCCACTCCTTTTAATTTCAAGGCCTTTGGCCTTCATAATCTTGAACTTGTATCTTCCAGGGCTCCAGAGCAGAGAGGATGAATGAAACACAAAGAAAGATGGGCATCTTTAACAAAGTTATTTCAGATAGCTTATATGTTTCAAAGATGACAAAGTGCATCTCAACTATATCTTTGCATCTTACTGTTAAATTATGATGACGATAAAATAATGAAGATGGTATCATTTGTTTTTGATGTGCTGCAAATCACTGTCTTGATGTACTTCCACACAATGTCCTATTTACTCTTGCGTTGGTAGATAAAACAACCACTTTTTGTAGCTGAATCAAACTATTAGGATATAAAGTTATTGTTTATAGTGCATCCTCTGTACAACTCCAATAGTAGACAAGCCAATGCTTATGGTGTGAATCTCACCCTTGTCCCCGAGTATCTTTGATCTCCTCTACTAAGTCTCTATCTTTCGAAAGCTTTCTATTCTATGTAGGTTGGAGTTTGAATATTTAGTGTGGTAACAACTAATATTATTGTCACCATTATTGTTATTTTTGTCAGGTCATATTTGTTTTTGTTTCTTTTCTTTCTGTCAATCAACTGTCCAACCAATCAACAAACACTGATTAAATGCTTACTATTTGTCAGGAACACAAGAAAACAATGAGACAGGAACTGTCTTCAAAGAACTTATAGTATATTGGAAGAAAAAAAGTGGACTCTTTAAAGAGGTTTTTCTTTTTGTAATCATCTCTTAGGGATTTATGACATACAACCAAATGAATGACTCTTGGTGCTAATTTAGAGAATTGGTTGTTTATTATTACAAAGTTTGGTGGTAGGGATGACAAGGATTCAATCTTGATGAACTGATTTTTTTCCTAGCCTTATTATGAAGTCACAGAAAACAAGGGTCAAGTAATAGAGACAACTCAATATTAAAGTCAAAGCAACTCAAAAAAGAATTTGGTAAGGACATGCTATCTGCCAAGCACTGTACTAAGTACTGGAGATTTAAATTAAAAAAAAAAAAAGAAGGAAAAAAAAACACCTTGCCCTCAAGGAGTTCCCAATTTAATATAAAGAGAAAACATGCAAATGACTATATTTGGATAGAAGATAGTTTGAAGATAATTCTAAATCAAAGGCAATAATGTTAGAGAGGACCAGGAAAAGGTTTAGAAGATGAGATTTTCCCTGAAGCTTTAAGGAATCCAGGAAGCATAGATGAGGAGAGGGAAAATTCCAGGCATAGGAAACAACCCATAAAAATCCACTGAGTTGGGAGGTGGAGTGTCTCGTGTATTAAAAATCCAGGAGGACAGTCACTGAAATGTAAAGTACTTAGGAGGGAAGGAAGGTGATTTGTTGTTGTTGTTCAGTTGTTTCAGTTATATCTGACTCTCCCTGATCGTATTTGGGGTTTTCTTGGCAGAGATACTGGAGTGGTTTGCCATTTCCTTCTCCAGCTCATTTTACAGATGAGGAAAATCAAGCAAACAGGGTTAGATGACTTGCTCAGGGTCACACAGTGTCTGAAGTCAAATTTGAACTCATTACAATGAGTCTTCCTGATTCAAACCCAGTGGTCTATCCCCTGTGCCACCTAGCTGCCTATATAAGGTTATAAAAGACTTAAAAGGCAGGGAGGGGCCAGATTATGAAGAGCTTTAAAAAGACAACTAAAGAGTTTCATATTGATTTCTGGAGGAAATAAAAAGCCACAGGAATTTAATGACTAAGGAAAGGTATATGACGTGATCAGATCTATCTCTAATGGAGATCCCTTTGATAGCTGAGTGAAGGATAAACTGGAATGGAGAGAGACTTGATGCATGGATGCTAACCAGGTGGTTATTACAGTAGTATAGGCATGAGGCAATAAGGGCTTGTACCAGAGTAGTACCAGTGTCAGAGCAGGGAGCATGTATGAGATATGTTATAAAAGTAGAATCAACCAAACTTGGCAACAATTAGATGGCAGGGGGTGAAGGAGAGAGGGCAATCAAGGATGATACCGCTATTGTGAGCCTAGATGTCTGAGGGGAGGGCAGTATGCTTCAATAGGAGTTAGAAAGGGTGGAAGTTTCTTGGGGAAAGGAGTGCAGTTTCTTAGTGTTGAGCTTTAAGATACCTATAAGACATGCAGTTAAAGAAAGCACAAAGATATATTCATACTGTTGTCCCTTATGAAGTGGGAAGAAGCCATATAATCCAAATTCATCATCTGAGAGGGCAGCTAGCCATTTGCTGGCCAAAGGTTAGTAACACCTTGGTTATTCTCTAAAACAAAACAAAACAAAACAAACAAACAAAAAATGACACATTCTTGAAGGAGTCAGTTGAAAGAGGAGTAGGGGCTGAAATGTGTGACCAGAGGCAGCAGGAAATAGAAAAGAAATGGAAGAAGATCCATTCTTTTGAGAAGAAAATATTCTTTGACACTGAAGAACTGGGGCATTTCTCTGTCCTACCTACCTATCCTCAGCCCTCCATTGTCCATGACATCTTACAGCAAAACTATTGGCCCTAGTGCCAGACCTGAAGCTACTTTGACCACTCAGATTCCCTAAGTGTCTATCACTCTACTAGTTTATTCTCTAAGATTGTGGTCACTTTTCAAATTGAAATTATATGTAGCTGAGAGAGTGATAGCCCTACGATTGTTGAAAAAATGTTTTGTAGCATTACAACTGCAATGCCAACTTATTAAATCCCTTTACTTTGAACTAGTTTTAATTACTAAATGAATATTAAAGGGAACATACCTGTAGGGGCTAATGAGCTATAGTTTTAGGAAAATGAATCTACAGAAGACCTTGAAACTGGGACTCTTTACACCCTCACCCCAAAGTGTCTATCTTTGAGATATCCAGGTTAAAATGTCCAATATACCCTTAGAGTTTTGAGATTTAAGATGACAAATCTTAATAATTCAATCAGAAATATTGTAAAAACTATGGCAGAGTTCTCTAAGTTTGCTGAACCTTC